CTGCAAATGAACCGGAAATCCCACGAGTTCCGAGAGAACTTTAGCCACGTTCTGGATATCGTTCTGGGTTTGGACCAGCTTAGCGGTAAGTAAAAAGTTCAGACATTTTAGGGCCAAGCCACTCAAGTGAGTTGTAAACTCACAAAGAAGCGCGACAGGTGAGTGGCACACACGCACACACCTGCGGATTTTTGGCGCTGAGGTCTCGCTCTTTGAGCTGGCGGCTCACCCCATGGTGGACATCCGGCTCAGCGACATCGTCTTCCTGCCACCCCCTTTGGTCACCGAGGCCAGGGCCAACGACCAAGCGAAGGGCGCTGGCGTCGGATTGCCCTCCTTTGCTTGAATGTTAGAACTTCAACTTTTTGCTCACTAATGGGTTTTCAGAAGAACAGAAAAAAACACCAAAAGTTATTCACTTTTAGCAGGGGAGCAGAAAGCAACCGAGAATTAACAAATGTAAACCGCTGGAACCCATCCACTTTTAGCCAATCTGAATGAATACTCTGGCCAGTTCCTCTACAAATGTTCGATTGGAACCCCCCAAAAACAGAACAAAAAGGGGGGTGGTCTCCCAAAAGATTGCTCTATGAATGATACCCTTCCACCAACTTGAGTGGAACCTGAGGTTTCGGGGGTTCCTGGTTTGGACCATGTTCCTTTTAAAGGGACCAGTCAAGTTCCATCAATGTTATTTGGTGGGAGGCAATAAACTCCATGAGCGTCCTTCCTGAGTTCCTGGACGTTTTGTTGTTCGAGAAGACCATTTTAGTGGTAGATTAAACCGTCCCAGAAAGTGAACCAACCCTCCCCCCCTCACCCCCCCCACCCACGTCAAACCTCAGAGTACAGGTGTGGTGTAGATTGGTGGTTTAAGGGAAGCCGAGCGGAAGCCCACTATCCCTGGGGTTCCCTATGACTTCTGAGTAGTCGGTTTGTATACCTGAGTGAAAACATGTACGCACGCCCACTTATAAGTGGTGGTGTTCTCTCGGATGCCAAATGGGCCAACAAAATGATTTGTCAGTTTTGTTCGAGAAAGTTGATCGTCACGCCCATGGAGTCCGATTAAACGGTTGAGGGAGGAATCGGATTTCAGGGGCTGTCTCTGCTTACCAGTTGCCCAGACGGACACTTGGTGTTTTCGTCCGTGAGTCAAGCATGCCCTTCGAGAGATGGGGTGGTTCTTCCCGGAAAATGTGGTTCAGCCCAAGGGCCATGAACTTCAGCTAGCCATTGATTGGTGCATGTTGCTTGGATGTTAGGACTTCAACTTTTTGCCAGCAGGTTTTCCATTAAAGCACGAAAAGTTATTCACTTTTAGCGGGGGATCAGAAAGTAACCAAGCATTGATTGGTGCTTTGGTTTTAAGGACTTGACAGCACCGCCAAACCGTTTACCACCAGACAAGTGGAGTCCATGGCACCAAAAACCTGCGCTTTTGAAGGTAAACTAGGTCCCCCAGTAGTGCCCTTTTACCCTTTTGTGGGGGAGGGTCCCCCTACTAAAATAAAAAGTGTACCCTTGTTCTAACCTCTCTACTGGAGCACCCAGTAAAACAATGGCAGGGTTTTTGTGAAGATTGGCAGGCAGAACCCTACAAGAGGCCAGGAAGGGGTCCTTTGAAGACTCACTTGGAGAAATGGTGAGGGCCTTGGCACGCAACGAACAAACTTGTCCCAAAAATGGGGGGGGGTTCTGCACCAGGACGCCCCTGCCCTGGATAAAGCAAGGTGGATTCGGGGGGGGGGGGTGAATTTGATTGCAACTCCTTTACATGGGTTTCGCCCATCAACATCATCCAGGGGTTCATTCCTTCTGGGTTCCCATCACGGCAACACCCCCTTTGTCAGACTTACTCTACCTTTTTGTTTTCATGATTTCGCCTTTTTGGTTTCCTTCGTGTTTCCTTTCAACCAGCGACAAACGTATTTGTTGGTCTTTGTTTGGCCCAATAGAAATGATAATAGATCATTTCAACTGGGGTATTTGTGAAAGAGTCGTGCATAGCGTTACCCTCCCACTAACCACGGTTGAGGAAAATAGGGTTTAACCAACGAGCCAACCCACAAACCAACCGGCCAACCAAGCAACCACCCACCCCACCCCACCCACCCAGCGGTCCGCAGCCACCCCCTGAAAATTGAACCAACCAAGCAACCAACCAAAACCTCTCCCACCTTCACCCAAAACCCTTAAAATGACCAATCAACCAACCAACCCCTGCCACCTTCACCAAAAACCTTTGTGTCCGTGTCTGTGTCTGTGTCTGTGTGTTTGTAATTAGGTTATAGATATATGGGTTTGTCCTTTTTTGGTGTGTTGAGTTGCTTCAAAAGGCAGAAGGTGGGACCTCCCCGAATCATACCCCCGAATCATACCCCCGAATCATACCCCGAATCATACCCCCGAATCATACCCCTTAAAACGTATGCTGCAAGATGCTACTGTTCTTCTACCGTTTTGTGTTGTTCACTGTCTCCACAACAACCACCACCAGCGCTACCCAATACTACCACTACCACTGCCACTGCCACTACTACTACTACTACTACTACTACTACTACTACTACTACTACTACTACTCCAATTACTACTACTACTACTGCTACTACCACTACTACTACTACTACTACTACTACTGCTACTACTACTACTACTGCTACTACCGCGACTACGAGTATTACTACCACTACCACCGCTACTACCGCTGCTACTACTACTCTACTGCTTCTACTTCTGCTTCTGCTACCCTTACTACTAACTAATACGACTACAACCTTGACTACTACTACTACTACGACTACTACCTTTATTATTACTACTACTACTACTACTACTACTACCACTAGGACTACAACCTTGACTACGACTACTACTACTACTACTACTATTCTTGCTTCTGCTGCTGCTGCTACTACTCACTACTACCACATACATCATTCTGAGTCTGTAATCAGTGCCGCTTTGCACCTAGCCGAATCATACCCGCGAATCATACCCGAATCATACCCGGACAATGAGCTTCCCCTGCCAAGGCTAGTGCTTAGTCTTTTTCACAGCGTCCGCACCACTACAGCCGCTGCTGCTTATGCTACAGCTGCTACCACTACTTCTGCAACTGCTACTACTACTACTACTACTCCTACCACTACTACTGCTACTACTACTACTACTACTACTACCACAGCTACTACGAGTTTGTAATCAGTGCCGTTTTGTACCTAGCCGAATCATACCCGCGAATCATACCCGAATCATACCCGCGCAATGAACTTGCCTTGCCAAGGCCAGCGCCAAGTCTTTTCAAATCTTCCGCGCCACTACAGTCGCTGCTCCTACTGTTACTACTACTACTACTACGACTACGACTACTACTACTACGACTACGACTACTACTACTACTACTAGGACTACTGCTACTACTACTACTACTACTACTACTACTACTACTACTACTAGTGCTACTACTTCGGCGACTACTGCTACTACTACTACTGCTGCTGCTGCTTCCGCGAATCATGCCCCCGAATCATACCCCGAATCATACCCGCGAATCATACCTGCGAATCATACCCCGTACTCAAACCTTCCTGCCCGGCCACCCTAAAAAATACAAACCCATACATATATATATATATATTGTCTAGGTCCCCCAGTAGAGCCCTTCTACCCTTTTTTGGGGGGAGGGTTCCCCCTACGAAAATAGACTACAGAAGAAAGGGTACCCTTATTCTAACCTCTCCACTGGAGGACCTAGATGTAGAAATGACTTCCCCCACTTTATATTGGCAATCTCCCCCTTAATATGAGCCCGGCATTTGAGTTTTTGGAAGCCCATCTGTTGTATCACAGAAGTGGATTCCATTTCCCACTTCTCCCACGCCCCTTCCAGGACCCCGGCAGCTGGACGGGCCGCATCTGCCGCCTCGAGAACTTCGCCGCGGAGGTGCGCCTCGGCAACGGCCCGGGCCCGAGCCCTCGGGGTGCCAACGGTTCGGCGGTGGCTCGCGGCGCGCGTGTGGCGCCGAGAATCTCGGCGCGCCACACCCGAAACACGAGGATTTCCAAGGGAGATTGTTTTGTTTTTTGCTCGGCAATTCATCAAGCCATGTGTTGCTCTGCCTTTTTTTAGTTTGGCGAGAATGCAGATAAGGGAAGAAGCTGATTTTGTCCAGTTTTCATTGTTTATGTTGACTTATTAGAACCCTCTGAAAAGCTGTTTTTGTTCCAGAGCCACGCACTCACCACCATTTTCCTGGGGGCTCCAAAGCGGGGCCAAATGAACGGGACCATTTTTGCCATTCCATCGGGCCTGCCCGGAGGCGGGAGCGTCCAGGTGCTTGGGCGGAGGGCGGAAGTCTTGGATGTTTGTCAGGTTAGCGGCAACTTACGAACTTGACCGAACACGCAACCTGCCTCTTCAGGTAATCCATTGTCACGGACTCAAAATGATCCCATGAATCTGTTTGGGTTACTCACCACATGGGATTAAAACGAGCTCACTTATGATGATGGCCCTTTCTTGGGATTGTCCTTGTTTCAGGTGTTCATTGATTGTGCAGATACATGTTTTTAGACTGTTTTTTGGGTTTCTACCATACATGTATCTCAAACCCTCAGTCTAGTTGTCCTCAACCACTTGCCTGTTGTATTCCGAAAAACACCTTACGTTTCCCTCAAAAGGATTCAATCCTCAATGTGAGTCACCTCCGGAATTGAATTTATGTTTTCTTGCATTTTCTCTGAAGACGATACATGGAGCTGTGGACTGAATCCAGAGGCTTCGGTCTTATCGGCTTTGTAGCCCCTTGCTGTGACTTCCCGTAGGGATTTTTTTGGGGGGGCAGAAATATCCAGGGCCCCATGTCAAGGGGACAGTTCCCGGGACCAACCCTGGCGACTCGAACAGGGACTTCGACTTCCTTTTCCGGCCATTCGGTCGAGTGCGGACTTTGCGCTCAGGCAAAATGAGGTTTGTGGACGTGGAGGTCCTGCCCGACGCCCAGACACCGGGTGAACATTTGAACGCCGGACTTTTTAGACCTCAGAATTTGTGGGGATTCATCTTTTGAGATGGTGCCAGCTAAGCCCTAAGGGTCCAAGTACCTTCTAAGGAAGTACCTTACGCCCTTTTAACACCCCAAAAACCATCCTCAAAGGGTACTTGGACCCTTAGGGAAGAACATTCAGATGATCAGAATATGGCGGGGATTCGTGTCCACCACTTTAGAGGTGGAGCCATGTGACTGTTTGGGTATGGCTGCTCCAACAGAACGTACTTGCCCCCAACTCGTTTGTATTACAAAGCCATCATTTCCGCATTTTGCTGGGTGCTTATTCTTGAGCCACATCAGAATATTGATTTTGAACCACAGCAAGCGGAGCCAAGGCAATTTTCGGAAGGTATCTGAAGTAGAACTTTCAAGTTTCAGCGCAAGTATCAAGGCATGGTTGTCAGACTTAGATGCCTTTTTTGTACCCAGCGAGGCACCAAGTTCCAGCCGTGGGCCATACTTTGACGTTTGACAAGCGCCTGCAGTTGCTGAAGTGGTGCGACTGGTTGGGAGATGTTGGGAAAGGGCGACGACTCAGAATCCACCGTGTTAGGCGCATGGCGGACACGGAGGGCTACGAGGCATGGATTCTGGGAGATGTGTGCAGAGGTTCAGCCTGAAAATTCCCGTGGCTGAGGGACATGGGGCTTGAGACCAATATTCCCTTCAAGGCCCCAAACTTTGACCATGGGGTAGCTTTTCCCATGTGGTGATGTTCTCAAATCTTGTTTTAGTATTAATAGTGTTTTCCCGAAAAGGTCATCACATGTCCCACGGCATGTAGGAGACTCAATTGTGTTTTCTGCATGGACATGGGTCTCGTGACTTGTCTGATGTGTGCCATGGTCATGCATCCGGGAGTTGGGCATCCGGAAGATGTTCCCAAGAACCCATGGCTATGTGCCGAGAGAGGTGCCCTCCAGTTGTCAGCTTTTGAGCCATCTGCCGGGCCCTGGTTTTGGGCTTTAGATGTAGCTGTCTGTTCATTTGCGCTGGAGGGCGCCTGGAAACAGCAGTGAGTTTTTGGGATAACATATCAAGGGATGGCATTTGTGCCCGTGTACAGGGAATCCGCTCTTTGCCGCAGTGGCACATTTGACATATCACTATCTGAAACGAGGATGTTATTTTGATTGAACTCCGAACACAAATTGGGGTTTCCCACGCGAGGATGTGCTTGAAATACTTCCTAAAATTGCCGGGCTGCGGAGGGAAGCTGGAGGGAAGCTGGAGGGAAGCTGAGGGAATCTGTATGCGTTGAAGGAGATTAAGACGGTACCTAGGCTGTGATCCGTTCTGGCCAGGGCAGCCAGACCTCCTGGGACGAGGGGGAGGAGGAAGAATTGGAGGACTGGAGCGGAAAGAATCGGACCCACTTCTTCACCTGGTTCCATCTATAGAGAGGTCGAATGCTTCCCAACAGGCAATATGGGTGTGGCTCAAAATTAAACAGGAGGGGTTACGCAGGTTTTGGTCCACGTTTCCACTTACCAGGGTTCCATTTTGGTACCGGTTTTTGGAGCCACAGCCATATGGGTTTTTGTTCTTTTTTGTGGGGACCCTCAACATGGAATCTTTCCTTGTGGTTTCCCTGTACCAAACAAAAGAGGGTTCCGGTTTCCTATCAGGAGCATATCGCAGCGCTGTTAGCACAGGAACCGCTACTGTTTTCCCATCAACCCCGTGCTTCGTCGTTTCATGAGAAAGCGGCGGTCGCTGGGGAGTGCTGGGCGCATTCGCGTACACTGACAGAAACATATGTATATATATATATATAGAAACATAAGCACATGCACCAGCATACTAGCAATGCACTGCAGACCCGATCAGATTGGTGGTTTGGGGAATTGAACCTCTGGTGTTTTCTGGAGGCAATCAGCAGCCTCCAAAAAGACTTAAAGAGTAAGGTAAACGTCGAGCAAGGGCCTAAGGGGCATGTTCATCAAGGATGTACCCCTTTTTGAAGGGGATCCGAATCCTGAAGGATATTTTAGTAAGAGCTGACGTTTTTGGTGCTCTCTCTCTCTCTCTCTCTCTCTCTCTCTCTCTCTCTCTCTCTCTCCCCAACCCCTTCAGGAATGCTTTGTGCACAGGCTTTTTTTTTAAGCTTGAGCCAAGGGGTCGCCGTTTTCGGGTCACTGCTTATCTTTGAGCAGACCAAAATACGGGTATACTGGTTTGAGGACAGACGGTTTCTTGCCAGGGCTTCTGCACTTATCAGTTTTACTTAGATCTGTGTAAGCCTTGTTGAGCTACTCCACTCAAGTGATTGAGGGTTGGGTTGTCCTTTGCTCCCCGGATGCTCTCAGATACGATCTTCAGTTGCAAGCTGGGGGGCAGTTGCTGATGCGCTTTTCCGCCCTGGGCACCAGGATGAATTTCGGGAGAACCATGCAACGGCGGAAGAAGGTGTGGTGCTCAGCGTACGACGCGTCAACGGACACTACCTTTGGACGACAACTGTAGCATCCTCTCCCATTTGCGCAAGCATACGTTTGTTATTTTGTCAGGATTCTCTCACTACTGGACATATAATTGTTTTTGTTGTTTTTTTTTTTCCTGGGGGCTTAAGCAAATGGAGGTCCTGAAGCACAAGCATCCGCTTGACCATTGCTCGCCACCTTTGCCCCAGAGCCGCGTCGCCAAGTCGCCTCGCACCAGTTAGATTTGTTTGTTTCCTCTCTCGGTCATTCCAACTGATTCCCTGCCTATCGAACCAGCAAGTTCTTAAGAACTATCAGGGACAGCCTTTGATCGAAATGATCCGCACTCCGAAGTCAGCCCATCCGAGTCCTTGTAGACACGGAGCAAACAAAAGTCTCCGTCCCCCTCGAGGCGAGCCAGAGGCCTCGGCCGAGGCGCGGGCGGGGGTTGGAATGCCTCGCCCGCCTAGGGCGCCGTTGGCTTCCCAAAGGTTTTCGGGCGACGCGAAGATGGATGACATCCGTTCGCACCACGAAATGAAACCATAGGAAACCATAGCTTTTGTTGGTATGTACAGGGGAATCGAACATTTTTTCAGGGTTTCTGGGGTTGTGCAGGATTTCATCCATACACAGTAGGTGTTAAGATGGCGTTGGTTGCGGTTTGGTTTCAATCATTTCATTTTCCATTGGGGCTGGGTATCTACTTTGGTCTTCCCTTTTAATCATCCCTCGCGGTCCAGTGTCTGATTCGTTTGTGGCCGACTGACTGTCAGGTAAGGGGCCGCACCCTGAAAGAGCGTGGTGAGGGTGTTGTGTGGGAGTGCAGGTAAGGGTTGCAGGTACGGCCACCACATGCTCGTGATTTCCCGAATGCGAAGTTGTTTTCTCAATCCTGCCAGAACGGCGGGTTCCTATTGTTTGGAAGGTACGGGGTATGTTGCCGGGCAGTGTATGGATGATACGCCTCATCACACCCAAGCGTGTGCCCGCTACCGCCGCCCCCAAACCTGTAGTACCAAAGACAAGCAAAGAGCTTCCAAGATGTGCCTGCTCTTTTGAATAATTTTATAGATGAGATATGATAAGATTACCCGCAAGCTTACTTGATTGGTGTTTGTGAGCGACAAACTACGCTTGGACGGGATGCGCAATACACATCTTACCCCTGGTATCCCCTGGTTCTGTCAAGGACTTCAGCCTTTGTCATTCCATTCTGGGTCTAACACATGAGTCTTTTTCCAGTCAATTAGATGCCAAAGGGAGGTGCCAAAGGGCTGACCTGGTTGGCCCGAGACTGGCAGTTCTGTTTCGCTCGTGGCCATTTGATTGCAGCCAGCGCGGTGCTAAATCGCCCATTTGCAAGTGGGTTTTCTAAAGAGCGCTTTTCAAGCGGAATCTCCCGTTTCTAGCCCCAAAACGGGGGTTTGTCAGGAAATGTCTAAAAAGTTGATGGCTGAGCTTTCTTTGTGAATCTGGAGAGCACATGAACCAAATGCAACCCACCGGGGAAAAAGAATCATGGGGTATCTCGGAAGTTTGAACACACCGTGCAGGTGGAGCTTGAGCCGGAGGTGTTGGAGCAGGTTGGCAAAACGGGGATGTGTTTTCGGCGAAAGACACCCGCAAGACAAGTACAGATGTGGTTGTCATGGGTTTGCAGTAAGGCCCTGTGATTCCACCTCCCTGTTAGGGAACCAAGTGAAACCAAGAGGACAAACCGGTTGGTTGCCTGGGATACTGGGATACTCTTGGAGGGTCCTTAGCTTAGCAGTGGTCACTAGGCTTATGGCCACCAGCCAAACTTTTCGGCTGCAATCGCCCCCTTTGCGGCTCTGCAACTAGAGAAAGGAACTCACAGGCGCCGGCATGCTCGTAGTGACACCCAAAGATATAGAACACAGTTGGGCCTGCTTTGAACCTTGAATTGATCACCAAATAGGTGGAGCATCGGTTGCGTTTCCTGCAGTTCACCTTTTCCGGGTCGTATTGTCTACCCTGCCAGGATCTTCGGAGTATCCAAGCCCAATCTGCACTTGGATCCGGTGTCGTTTCTGTTAGCAGGGGTGCCTACTGCATATTGTCTTTGTCTGCGGCCATTTGAAACATCACTTAGACCAGTTGTGGCTGTTCCTTCTGGGCGATGTTTCATGGGGGAACCGCAGAGTACTGACCCGGTCGATTTTCATAGGGGTGTGTCCCCTTTTGGTGGTTCAGGCCACTCCCTCCACTCACTTCCTGAGTTCCTGGACTTTAGTCACTGTTGCAGGTTTGGACCACTTGTGTGGTAAATTCAAAGTCTGAGCTTTTGGCCAACCCACGGTGAGTAAACCCTCCCCCCCTCCCAGAAGGTCGAACCTCAGAGAAGACAAACGACTGCGTTCCCGGGCCCTTTCGGGGGCGGACCACCCCCCTTTTGATCCCTAAGAAAGGAATTTGGTAGGAGTACTAGGACACATAGATATGGCTCAAGATTAAAGAGCTGGGGTTACGCGGGTTTTAGTCTTTGGTTCCACTTAC